CAGCGATGCAGTTGGGTAACTCCAAACTGTAACTGTAGACAGTTACTGCTTGTTTTGAACACGTATTCGTTTCAAACAATCAAGTTGAAACTTTCTGCGTTCTTACCATGTGCAGCAGCAACAGTGGGTCTGCCAGTCAGGAGCCCGAGCAGGCTACACTCCATTGCAACAGAGATGCGCTCCTAACGCGGAAGGGTGCTACCTGAGGTAGGCTTTACCTTCTCTGTTATTGCAGAGTGTGAGCCAGCCGATCGGTGGGGAAAGCTCGGGAAGTGACCTTGTGCAAGAAGGCATTTGTGTCGCGTGCTGCGTGGACCTGTCACGCTTCAAAGCTCCACGGCTACAGGATTGCGGCGAGCATCCCAGCCGGCAGCGGCAGTGAAACCTTGTGTAGGTCATGTGGCAAAGTGTTTGCCCGCCCGGCACGGCTACGAAGGCACCTGCTTCACTCCTCCTCTTGTAGAACCAGGTGGTTCTTTCAGCTTGCCGAAGGTGTCGGAATCCCTTCTGTCCACAGCTGCCTCCCGCCCCCGACCCTTGAGGGAGTTCTTGCAGAATGCCACCAAGAAATTGATCCTGCTGTTTACAACCGTGGGCTCTCGATGGCTTATCCGACCCCACACCGGAAAGTGTGTGGGAGCTTGTTGGAGAGTTTGTTGAGCCCCTACGCGTTCTCTGTGAAACAGTACGGCTGTGGGGGCAGAGCAGTTCGGCGCCCGATGTGGCCGGTGACATCGCCGAGGACATCATGCTCCTGCTTGATCCCTATCTCATTGGGGAGTCATTTTGCCGTCCAAAGGGCAACCCGGCCATGGATTCCGGCCTGTCCTTCGTCCTGTCGGGTCATACAATGTGTTTCGACCTTGATGACCCTCCTTGCCCGGACTTTGGATTTCCGTTCATCGGAGGCGTTCCCCTCGCGGGCGCCAAGCGCCAGGCCGCATACCTTGAGGCTGCATGCGATGTTGTCGGTCTTATGGTACAGCAGGCGCTTTCTTCCAGGGTTTTGCTGCAGAGCGCTGGCTTCTCTCGAGCCTTTACCGACTTGGCTGTTTTGGGTGGGCTTTGTGCAAACCAGTGCTGGCATCAGCAGCCCTGATGACTAGTTTCACTCGAATTCATTTTCTTGCAATAGGCGCGACCAACGGTCTTTCAGCCTGTGGAAATGTTCCGCCACAGGGCCAAAACTGTGCTCAGTCGCCGTGGAGAGCGAAAGGAGGTCGGCACCCCAATCGGCCCATCGGCACTCCAATCCGCCCAGGTCGGGGGTGGCGGACCAAGTCCAGGTGCCACCGGTTGTCACTCCAGTCCCGTCGACAGCTTGATAAAGCGCCGAAGGAATAGCCCAGCGCTCGAGTTCGATGCGTCTGAGGAGCGTCACCCGGGCTGCCCAGCAATTTTCACGCTCATGGTGGGAAAGCCGGGCTGAACGCAAGACCGCATTCACCAAGAACCACGGCCTGGTGGCAAGGTGTGCGCCTACCCAAGCCACGTGAGGCGCCAAGTTGCGGACCAACCGCGCCAGCTAGGCCACGGGCGCAGCAATGCCCTAGCGCACTGCTTCCCAGAACAGCTCCCAATTGTGAACGCACAAAATGCCCAGAGTTGCAAAAGCAATTGTAAGCACTCCTTTTTTGTCGTGCCTCGCAGAACGAGTTAGAAGTTTACAACATGCGCAAAACAACAGCACATGGCCCCACGGCTACGTACAGTCACATCCTAAACCCCTGAGAAAGCCTCGCAATGCTCAACAAAGTGTGACCAAAAGGCCTTGCTATGTTCAGTGTTCAAACGAACATGTTGGAGACGGCTACCCCCATCGCCAGGCGCACCATCCTCTAAGGCGGCTTTAGAATTGTCAACCCTCTCCCCAATTCTTCCGTATCCAAACTGTCAAAACAGAGACGAAATCCAAAACCCCTACTGGTGACACTGATCTCTTGAGCTCTCACGAAAAGCTTAATTTCTATCCGTTGAAAGGTGTCTGTGGTTTCTCCAGCATTCGGCTCTTTGGAATCTGTTTAGCATGTACATGACGTGATTATAGGATTCGACATGTGCATTTTTGTGTTCAAGCTTGTTCATGTCGGGTGTAATCCGCGAAGAAAGTGCAAAGCCTATGGCACCTGGAACGCGGTGGGTCGCAGTGCTGACTGTTGAATGGTGCTTTTGCGCATGTTATAGGTTGTTGCGGCACGAAGGGCGCACAAGACCTGTACAGCGATGCAAGACAGCCAACAAATACATGCAACCAGCAAAGTTCATGCCGTGCAGCCATGGATGATTCGAAGGCTCGCCGCTGCACATTTCGTAAAGCATGTGCTGGTGTATGGCCGTGGTCCACCGGAGGCAAAAGTGTTGGAAGAAGTTCAACGCTTGAAGGTGTGGTCCTTTGAGTCAGTGGGCCACACCGATTTTCATGAATGTCAGGGACTTTTGCTGGATGGAAGTGCATCGAAAGAGACGGAGCGGAACCTGGAAGTTTGCTGGACCTAGGGGGGCAGGCAGGCTCTCAGTTTCGTTTCCCAGGTAATATCCGCATTGGACCAGCTCCAAAAGCTCGGAAGCTCCTTGCCTTTTTTGTGCTTGTCCGCATAGAGTTCATGCCATGCGCAAGTGCCATTCATGCAAAGTCCCGCAGTGATTTAGCCACCGCATCGATCTCAGGTTTGTCGACAAGAATCCTGGGTGAAACAATGGTGGGCGCGGCACGCAGACGTCAGTGTGAGTTTTCGGCTGCGCGGCTCGTGATGTCCCGTAAAGCTCCACTATTAAGTTTTTTGGGGCCAAAAGCATGTGACAGACAGGCCGAGCTGTCCACGATGTGGGGCGGGATGCTGTGGATCCTGAGATCCGAAAGAGGGCTCGAACCCTCGAGGCCCTCTGGAGGCTGGGACTCGGCTGGCGGACAGCACCTGGGAAGGGACAAGTGCCGTCTCCTTGCAGAAACGAATACAAGAAGCGGAAGTCAACGACGGGCATCGGAGACGAGCTGCTGGTCTCTGAGCATGGAGGATTCCTCCTTTGTCTCGTGCGCATTCTCGCGGCGGTCCCTGCAGCTGAGGCTCCTGAAGCGGCGCTTGAGCTCCGATGTCTCGGAGGCGAGACACGCACGTCGCTCGTGGGTGGCGCTCCGCAAGCCCAAGCGCAGGCTCCGCAGGCACTTTCACAAGAGCTGGGGGACGGTGAAAACGCAGGCCGGGGCCCAGGCATGGCTCCCGAGCTCCAACGGATCTGTCCCTGTCTTTTCAAGGACCAGGACCGC